CTCCATACAAAATACACTGGTCTGGGTGCCCTTTTAGCTGGCAATTGGAGCCCTGGGAAGGCAGATTGCTCATTCATCTGATTTAAAAGGGAACTGAAACAGGGAGCCAAGCCAGGATATTCCCAGGCAAAAAAACCCGCCATGAATCTCAGCGCCACTGTTTCAGCTGGCACAGTGAGTCACCACAAGGGAAATCACACAGATCCCAGTGCCTTTTCAACAGGTGACTGGAACACCTGGGAGAGAGTCGACTGTTCAACTAAAAAAAAAAAAAAAGAGAGAGACTCTGAGTCAGGGAGCCAGGTGATCAGGCTCAGCTGGTCTGACCCCCCCCCCCCGCACCCCCACCCCCCAAAGAGCAGGAATTGAAAATGCTCTGGGTTGAGCATTTCACAGCAAGCACAGCTGAATCCAGGATGGGCCAGCTCTGTGGGTGAGGGGCATCCACCATTACTGAGACACTCCACCACTGCAGAGGTAGTCCGCCATCGCTGAGGCAGCCCACTGTTGCCAAGGTAGCCTGTTGTTGCCGAGGCAACCTGCCATTATAGAGAGAGTCCGCCATTACAGAGGCGGGACACCATTGCCAAGGCAGTTCTAACAACACATGATTATCTCAATTGATGGAGAGAAAGTCTTTGACAAAATTCAATAGCCCTTTATGCTAAAAACCCTCAATAAACTAGGTATTGGCAGAACATATCTCAAAATAATAAAAGCTATTTATGACAAACCAACAGGCAATATCATACTGAATGGGTAAAAACGAAGCATACCCTTTGAAATCTAGCACTAGACAAGGATGCCCTCTCTCACCACTCCTATTCAATATAGTATTGGAAGTTCTAGCCAGAGCGATCAGGCAAGAAAAAGAAATAAAGGGTATTCAAATAGGAAAGGAGGAAGTCAAATTGTCTCTATTTGCAGACGACATGATTGTATATCTAGAAGACCCATCGTCTCAGCCCAAAATCTCCTGAAACTGATAAGCAACTTCAGCAAAGTCTCAGGATACAAAATCAACGTGCAAAAATCACAAGCATTCCTATACACCAATAACAGACTTAAAGAGAGCCAAATCAAGAATGAACTGCCATTCACAATTGCTACAAAGAGAATAAAATACCTAGGAATACAACTAACAAGAAAGGTAAAGGACCTCTTGAAGGAGAACTACAAGCCACTGTTCAATAAGAGAGGACACAAACAGATGGAGAAACATTCCATGTTCATGGTTAGGAAGAATCAATATCATGAAAATGGCCATACTGCCCAAAGTAATTTATAGATTCAACGCTATCTCCGTCAAGCTACCAATGACCTTCTTCACAGAACTGGAAAAAAAAAAAACCTTAAACTTCATATGGAACCAAAAGAGAGCCCACATAGCCAAGTCAATTCTAAGCAAAAAGAATAAAGCAGGAGGCATCGCACTACTGGACGTCAAACTATACTACAAGGCTACAGTAATCAAAACAGCATGGTACTGGTACCAAAACAGAGATATAGACCAATGGAACAGAACAGAGGCCTCAAAGGCAACACAACATATCTACAACCATCCAATCTTTGACAACCCTGACAAAAACAAGCAATGGGGAAAGGATTCCCTGTTTAATAAATGGTGTTGGGAAAATTGGCTAGCCATGTGCAGAAAGCAGAAACTGGATTCCTTCCTGACACCTTACTGTAAAATTAACTCCAGGTGGATTAGAAACTTAAACATAAGACCTAACACCATAAAAATCGTAGAAGAAAATCTAGGCAAAACCATTCAGGACATAGGCATAGGCAAGGACTTCATTACCAAAACACCAAAAGTATTGGCAACAAAAACCAAAATAGACAAATGGGACCTAATCAAATTCCACAGCTTCTGCACAGCAAAAGAAACAGTCATTAGAGTGAATCAGCAACCAACAGAATGGGAAAATTTTTTTGCCGTCTACTCATCTGACAAAGGGCTGATATCCAGAATTTACAAAGAACTAAAACAGATTTACAAGAAAAAAACAAACAAGCCCATTAAAAAGTGGACGAAGGATATGAACAGACACTTTACAAAAGAAGACATACATGAGGCCAATAAATACATGAAAAAATGCTCATCATCACTGGTCATTAGAGAAATGCAAATCAAAACTACATTGAGATACCATCTCACACCAGTTAGAATGGCGATCATTAAAAAATCTGGAGACAACAGATGCTGAAGAGGATATGGAGAAATAGGAACACTTTTACACTGTTGGTGGCAGTGTAAATTAGTTCAACCATTGTGGAAGACAGTGTGGTGATTCCTTAAGGACCTAGAAATAGAAATTCCATTTGACCCAGCAATCCCATTACTGGGTATATATCCAAAGGATAATAAATCGTTCTACTATAAGGACCCGTGCACATGAATGTTCATTGCAGCACTGTTTACCATAGCAAAGACTTGGAACCAACTCAAATGCCCATCAATGATAGACTGGACAGGGAAAATGTGGCCCATATACACCATGGAATATTATGCAGCCATCAAAAACAATGAGTTCATGTCCTTTGTAGGGACATGGATGGACCTGGAAACCATCATTCTCGTAAAACTGGCACAAGAGCAGAAAATCGAAAACTGCATGTTCTTAATCATAGGCAGGTGTTGAACAATGAGAACACATGGACACAGGGAGGGGAGCACTACACACTGGGGTCTGTTGTAGGGAAATAGGGGAGGGACAACGTGGGGTGGGCAGTTGGGGAGAGATAGCATGGGGAGAAACGCCAGATACAGGTGAAGGCGAGGAAGGCAGCAAATCACACTGCCATGTGTGTACCTATGCAACAATCTTGCATGTTCTTCACATGTACCCCACAACCTAAAATGCAATTAAAAAAATGGGCAAAAGACTTGAACAGACACTTCCCCAAATAAGATATATCAATAGAAAATAAACATAAGAAAACCATATGCTGAGTACCTGCCACTAGGGCATTGCAAATTAAAACAATGATATACCTTAGGTGTCTACTTATAAAATGTAGAAAGTCCAAAATATTTGACAAAGCCAAATACTAGTGAGGATGTGGAACAAAAGAAACTCTCATTTATTGTTTTTGAGAATGCTAAATAGTACAGCTACTTTGGAATACAGTTTGGCAGTTTCTTTAAAGTAAACATATTCATACTATACAGTCCAGCAATCACACTCCTTGGTATTTACCCAAAGGGGTTGAAAACATATTCTCAATAGACAAATGAGATCTAATTAAACTTAAGAGCTTCTGTACAGCAAAAGAAACTATCATTAGAGTGAAATGGCAACCAACAGAATGGGAAAAAATATTTGCAACCTATCCATCTGACAAAGGGCTAATATCCAGAATCTACAGAGAACTTAAACAAATTTACAAGAAAAAACCAAACAACTCCATCAAAAAGTGGGCAAAGGATATGAACAGACACTTCTCAAAAGAAGACATTTATGCAGCTGACAACATATGAAAAAAAGCTCATCATCACTGGTCGTTAGAGAAATGCAAATCAAAACCACATTGAGATACCATCTCACACCAGTTAGAATGGCAATCATTAAAAAATCAGGAGACAACAGATACTGGAGAGGATGTGGAGAAATAGGAATGCATTTACACTGTTGGTGGGGGTGTAAATTAGTTCAATTATTGTGGAAGACGGTGTGGAGATTCCTCAAGGATCTAGAACTAGAAATACTATTTGACCCAGCAATCTCATTTACAGGGTATATACCCAAAAGATTATAAATCATTCTATTATAAAGACACATGCACATGTACGTTTATTGCAGCACTGTTCACAATAGCAAAGACTTGGAATCAACGATCAATGATAGACTGGATAAAGAAAATGTGGCACATATATGCCATGGAATACTATGCAGCCATAAAAAAGGATGCATTCATGTCCTTGGCAGGGAAATAGATAAAGCTGAAAACCATTATTCTCAGCAAACTGACACAAGAACAGAAAACCAAACACTCATGTTCTCATTCATAAGTGGGTGTTGAACAATGAGAACACATGGACACAGGGAGGGGAATATCACATACCAGGGCCTGTCAGGGGGCAGAAGGCTAGGGGAGGGATAGCAGAGGGTGGGAGGATGGGGGAGGGATAGCATTAGGAGAAATACCTAATGATGGGGTAATGGATGCCACAAACCACCATGGAACATGAATACCTATGTAACAAACCTGCACGTTCTGCACATGTACCCCATAACTTAAAGTATAATAAATAAATTTAAAAAATAAAACATATTCTCATAATAACCTGTTCATGGATGTTTATACCAGCTTCATTTATGACTGCAAAAACTTATAAGAAACCAGAATGTCCTTCAGCAGATGAGTGCATATGAAAATTAAACTACATTCAGGCAATGAAATATTATTTAGCACTAAAAAGAAATGAGCTATTAAGCCATGAAAAGACACTGCAGGATTTTTGTAGTGAGGAGGCTGTGTGTATATGAGATCAGGGAATACAAGAGAAATTTGTGTACCCTCTGCTCTATTTTGCTGGAATCTAAAACCATTCTTAAAAAAAGATAATTTATTTGAAAAGAATAGGAAATTAAAATGGCATTCTAGAAAATATCTGCTTAACAGAAAAGAAGGCAGAAGTGGACAAACATAGGAACACAAAAGGCATAATAAGATATATGGTAAACAAATGGTAAAATAGCAGCTTTTTGGAACAACTATCAATAATTACATTAAGTGTAAATAGATTAAATACTCTAAAAATCAGAGATTAGCAGGTTTGATTAAAAAGCATGATCTAACCATTTTCTCTCTACAAAAGACGTACTTTAGATTCAAACACAAAAATCATCTGCGTTTCTGGTAATGGGGTTACAAGCCAATAAACCTATTATATATTCAAAATATCATAAATCAAAATACATTTAATACTCTTAACCTTCTAAACGTTATAATTTAGCCTAACTTACCTTGCCTGTGCTCAGAACACTTACATTAGCCTATAGTAAAAGAGCAAAATTCAAAATTTGATGTATGGTTTCTATGGAATGTATATTTGTTTTGCAACATCATGAAGTTGAAAAATTTTAATCATCTCATCATAAGTCGGGGACTGTCTGTAGTTTGAAAGTAGAAGAGTAAAAGATGAGAGACCTTGCAAATATTAACTGAAAGAAAACTCGAGTAATTATATAATACCAGACAAAATAGACTTTAAAACAAAAATTGCTACTAGAGAACAAGAATATTATATAATAATAAAAGGATCACTCCATCAAGAAGAGACAACAATTACAAATACCTATACCCCTACCATCAGGGCCCCCAAACACATGAAGCAAAAGCTGATAGAATTGAAGGGAAAATAAACAATTCAACAATAGTAGCTGGAAACATCAACACCTCATTTTCAATAATGAGTAAAACTAGACACAATATACACAAAGAAATGGAAGACTTGAACAATACACATAAACCAACCGACATCTGTAGAACACTTACCCAACTAGAATATAATACATATTCTTCTCAAGTGAATATAGAACATTCTCTAGATCATATGTGAGTCCAAAAAAGTCTCATTAAATTTAAAAGAATTGAATAATACAAAATATGTCATCTGACCATAACAGAATAAAATTAGAAATCAATAGCAAAAGGAAATTTGATAAATTGACAAATAAGGAAGAATGTTTTAAAATATTCTTTGACTTTTTGAGTCTAAAATCTAATTAGGAACTTAAATAGTTTTTAATATAGTATAAATAAAGAGATGTTGCTATTAGTGTGTTTGAATAACATTTGTGCCCTTGATTTCTATCTTTTTCCCTAGTGCTGATATAGAAGAATTATCCCTGTATCTGGGATCCCTTTTGTCATTATCTAGGAGTTCTCTTTGAAAAAAGAAACTATATCCTGACCAGTGCCAATCACTTTAGCCTTCTATTTTCACCCTGTTCTTTACAATAAAACTGTAAACATCATTTTCAAATTGTTACTCAATAGATGCAAGATTATTATATCAATTGAACATTCAAAGGAATATTCTAAATAGCAATTCCCCAAGTTAAACTGTTAGCCAAAAACTAAGTGTTTTCACCATTCAAATAAGAAAAACTCCTTCTATAAAAAGATTCTAGTCATTTTCACTTACTAAATACTTATTATGTATATCTTTCTCTAAATACCATAGGGATTATAGCAATAAATGGGATTCAGATTCTGCCCTCAGCAACCTTGTGGTCTACTAGACAGATGGTGGTAGTCAGACAAGTACACAAATAACCTCAATTACACGCAAAATTTAATAAATGCAATGATTAAGGCACAAAAGTCTACAGTGATTTAAAAAGGGAATTTTTACATCTAATTAGAGTACTTAAGAGAGGCATCTTACAAAGTAATAGTTCTCAACATTGGCTTCTTATTAGTATCACACTGGGAACTTTAAGAAATCTTGATGACCAGACTTTGCCACAGAGCAAACAAATCAGAATATCTCATGTAAGTGGCCTGAACATCAGAATTTTTTAAAGCTCCCTAGGTTGTGTGGCCAAATTAAAAAACCATTATTATAAAAGATGGGTAAGAAGAAATAGAACAGAACAATGGGTAAGGTTTCAGTTGAAAGGGGACTGGATACCAGAGCACTTGAAAAAATCCTCACTTCAATATAGCTAATAAATTTTCATTCTTCAAACCTCAGTTCAATTAAAACATTCCCTAAAAGTTTTTCCTGACTCCTCCAATGATAGTAATAATATTTTAATAATGGTAATAAAAGCTGAAACTTTTTACTGCCCCTTGCTATATGCCACGTGCCATTCTAAACACTATATATATATATCAATAGATAGCACTCCCAATAACAGGAGATAGATAGTATTACTGCTCCCATTTTACATGAAAGGAGGGTAAATAACTCACCAAAGTTATACAGCTAAGAAGTGACAAAGTTGGCATTCAAGTACAATGGCTCTAGAATCCCTGTTTTGAAACACAACCAACTGTAGTCTGATGTTCCTTATCAAGCCCCACATAGAACACAAGTATACCTCCATCATACCATGAAATCATTATATTGTAAAGGTTTATGAGATTTTTCTCTTCCACTAGTCATTCATTCATTCAGTTAACAATTACTGAGCACAGTTTGTGCCAGAAATTGTGTTTGCTATCAGAAATACAAAATCACATGTTCATATTTCATGTCAAGGAGTTTTAGTCTACAGCAGAGGTCAGCAAACTACAGTTGACGAGTCAAATCCTACTGGTCACCTGTGTTTTAAAATAAAGTTTTATTGACCCATAGCATGCTCACTGGTTTATGTATTATCCAGAGCTGTTTTGTGCTACAAAATAAATAGCATAGTGAAAATAGTGTGACAAAGACCCTCTGGCCACAAAGTCTAAAATATTTACTGTCTGGCTCTTTATAGAAAAATTTTGCTAACACCTAGTGTGAAAAATAGGGCAAATGGAAAATCATCAGTGACTATCCAATGAGGTGTATGGTATGAGGTCCAACATACTATGGGAACACAAAAGAGAGAAATCTAGATTAGGTTAGAGGGTCAGCAAAAGTATTCCAGATGGCGTGAAATTTGAGCTAGTTTTGGAAGACTGAGTAGAGCCAATTACATAAAAAAGACCAGGCAGAGTTCCCAGCAATATTAGACATGGAAGGTCAACAGTGATCCAAGGAGCTAGAGTAAGGACAGTTGGAATAGCAAAGAAGGTAGACATGCTTAAATGATGTTACTTAGTTCTATAGAATTTATGAAAATATATCTTTGATTTCTTGGTTCTCATTATTTAGCACAACTAGTGATGTATATAGATGAAACTTACTAAATGTTTGTTAACCAAAAAGATTAATCTTAGGTAAAAAGTAAACCTCTTTCACGTTAAAAAAGGAGAAAATAGTTGCCATCCATTCATTCTTAAAACGATCAGACTATAATAATTCTGGATTTTTTCACTCATTATCCTCGAGTGAAAAAAGACCTCTTTTTTCTTGTTTTCAGTTGTATAGATACATATAATATTAACAATATAGTTGCACAAATGATACATCATTGCAAAACACTGTACCTGGAAAATTCATAGGCAGTTCAAATGGCTGTAGAGACTCACAACCTTCAATGTGCTCACAAATTTCAGCTATGATCTTCTTAATTTTGAGACCAGTAATTTTAATCACTTCTCCTGTTGAGAAACAGCATTCATTTCCAAACATTTCATAAATAGAGCCTAAAAGGAAAGAAAAGTTAAAACAGATTTTTAAAAAGAAAACAGTGGAGAACAAAGAAGACTCAAAAGCTTCATATAAAGTGTTTTAATTCAGTTTCTCTCTTAGCTACCTGCTAAACAGGAATTTAATCAAGCTGGGCGAAATGTACCACATGGACCAGAAAAATATTAGATTTTCAATTTATCCATTGGACCAAGTATAAATAAATCTTATTTTCTTTATCTTTGTAAACTGAATTTATGATTTATTCAGCACCCTTAGTTCATCTTACCAAGGTCAAACTACAAACATAGTGTACACTACTGAGATTTATGATCTGTTTTTGCTGGGTCACAAAATTAAGCTCATATGACTCAAAAATGATCTAAGTAACGACTGCAAACAAGGTTGTCATGCAATCAGGGACAAAAAGACAGAGGGTCTGCGTACTAGGGCTTCATATTAAGAGGATCATATTTATTTATTAGATCTGTTTCACTTTATTAGCATGAAAGTAAAACTTTTTGTCCATTTTTGTCTCTTGGTTTTTGACAAGCTGGAAACCATTCTGAATATCTTTATGGCAATAGGGGGCAGACCAACCCAGATAAACTGAAAAGCTTCGATTTAGTCAGGATTTCAGTTTCCTTCTTGACAAACCTTTTATCATAGATGCTACAGCTAAGTTTTCATTCACTTATTTTCCTTTTGTATTCCCTGATGAAAGGACAGTGAGGAATAAAATAACCAGAAGATGAGCAACAGACAAGAGCAGAAGCAAAAATTCTGGATAACCTACCCTCAGTGAAGGGAAAAACCCAAAAACTATATCTCTGGCATATTATTGCTTTACAATTCAACACTAAACTTCAGGCTGGTATAAATAAACATTATAGAACTGTGGGCTTTCAAATATACCAAATTTTCCTGACCTCCAAGATGGTTTACATTGTCTTTGCCATACTAAGTGTAAAGTACATGAGCACAGGGTTTTAGGTTTGCTTGTTTGTTTTCTGAATTTTTCTGTATTGAACCAACTCCTCATAGAATTGTTCCTGATATACAGCATGCACCTAAAACATTTTTACGGTATTCATGGTTGTCAGAAAAGTTATTAAGAGTGGTATCCAATCTAGCTCTGAACAACAATTCTGGGGCCATATCAGAGTCCCAATATGTAACAGGGCACACTAAAATTAGAATAATTTCAGGAGGTTTATCACAGGGGCCATCTTTAAAAAGAGTCACAGAAGTTCTAAGCAGCCAAAGAAAATAAATGTCCTGACCTCACTCTTATCCCATTAGCCAAATTCTGCCAGAAGACAGAGGACAAGGGAGCTGCTAATGTCCCCACAGAAGTCACCTCCCATGCAGAGTGGATATGAAAACCTAGCACACTCACATTACTGTCCATATCTAAGTAAGAAGCATTTTTGCAGACAAGAATACGTCTAAAGAATAGATCTTAAGGATAGTCTATCAATTTCTCAAGCTTTGAGTATGTATTTCCATAACCCTCTCCTTTTCTGATACAATTCCCTTAACTACATATGTGCTCACACTTTCATTAACTTTAATGCATAGTGTTATCAGCAGGCTCAAGTCCTTTGTGGAACAAATTAAGTTATTAAAAATATTAATAAATCCACAGTGACATTTCCTCCAATGGACTCAGAATGGTTATTTGCTATGATCCTCATTTGGCAATTAATCACATACTAACATTTTATATCTTTAGTATTATCTCACCCTGTACTTAACTTTTTATGAGTTTTAGTTTTTATGACTCCCAATTCAATTTTAAACTTCATGAGAAGAAATATTGCATTACATTCTTGCATGACTACAACACATCAACTTCCCCTCTTCATTCATTCAGCAAACTTTGATTAAAAAAAAAAACCCTACTATGTTGGTGATTGGCAATAGGAATCAGAGATAAAATACATTACTTCTTCCCCACAGAAGCATTGTCTTAAAGGGAAAGAACAATCAAGCAGACAATTGCAACAGACTATGAGAAAGGTATAATAAAGGAAATACAGGGCATTGTGGGAGTATACTGAAGGCATTTAATTATGCAATTACATGAAAAAGAGATCAGGAAAGAATTCCTGGAGGAGAAGACAGCGGATCTGAGTTTTAAAGGAAGAGTCACAGGATGCCAGGACAGGCAGAGGAAATAGTATCTAAAAAGACATTGAGATGTGAAAGAGCCCGATACATTCCGGAAACTTCAATGTCTTTGTTATATCTAAAATGTGAAGTAAGAAAGAGAAAGTTGTAAAAACAGAGACTAGAGAAGTAGAGGGAGTCCAGATCGTTCAGAGCAATCATGAAATTATCAAACAAAAAGGCAATTCAAAGTATGAAGCAACCTCAAAGTCAGAGAATCTACATTTCCAGTTATGTTTGTCCAAGAACACATTTAAGGACAGGTCATTTGTACTTTAAGTGTTTGCTATATGAATCTTGGTCCACTGCATCACCTGAGAGCTTATTAGAATCTTAGACCTCAGACCTGCTGAATCAGAACCTGCATTTTTAACAAGATCCCTAGATGATTTATAAGTACATTAAGCCGGGCGCTGTGGCTCACGCCTGTAATCCCAGCACTTTGGGAGGCCGAGACGGGTGGATCACCAGGTCAAGAGATCGAGACCATCCTGGCCAACATGGTGAAACCCTGTCTCTACTAAAAATACAAAAAAATTAGCTGGGCATGGTGGCGCATGCCTGTAATCCCAGCTACTCAGGAGGCTGAGGCAGGAGAATTGCCCTAACCCAGGAGGTGGAGGTTGCAGTAAGCTGAGATCGTGCCATTGCACTCCAGCCTGGGTAACAAGAGCGAAACTCCATCTCAAAAGAAAAAAAAAATAAGTACATTAAGGTTTGTGAACATTGGCATAGGCAACAAATGGATAACAAAATAGTCTCTGTTTTGAAATAGTTGCAAAACTAACAGAGAGGGGAAAGTGATAAGCAGAGAAAGCATTGGGGGGTCTTGAGGTAGACAGAGGATGTTATAGTGGAGACAGGGAAAGGGAAGGATTTTAAGTAAAGAAGCAAATAGTAAATTTTTTCTTTGTCGCATTAAACGGAATATAATTTAACCTAGCCCATTTCAGCTGAAGTCTGTCAGGGTTGATTTCAATGCAATGGATATCAATGCAATGCAATTGTAGATGTAATGTATATCAAATTGGCTGAGTTGGAATGTCATCTTTCTTTTAAAGGTTCAATTGGAATTTAAAATGAAAAGATAAATTTGTGTGAGATTTCATATCAATTCACATGGAATAGCAGCCAGAGAATTCTATAAAAAGAAGTTTCATGAGTTTCAGTCACCATAAGCTTTTGACTCTTCAGGTCTTTTTCCAAGCAAGTCTTTCCTTTTGGAAGAAAAAAGCCCACTTCTTTCAGTCACATAAGGAAGAGAGTATCATGTAAATGCTAATCTTTTACAATTTCCCTTTAATATTTTGTGACTTCCAGTTTTCTTCAACCAAGATACCTATACCTCGTTTTTAATAAAGAAAGTGTTCAGAGACATTCAGCACTAGAAAGTTATGTCTATGATAGGTGACAGGGACATAGAGCAAAGCTCAAGTCGCTAAAACTGGAAATCTTGTACTTTATTATCACCAATATAGTGTGTCTTAAAATACATTTTTTCCTTCGTGATAAATGGTGAATTTAAAAAATAGCCAATTTTCATTATCTCAAAACAAACACATATTATGTGTAACTGCATTTCAAAAAATTGCTGAGATGTGTGCCTGAAATATATCTGTGTATATGTAGACACACGTATTTAAATGGTTTTCATTTTAACCATAAAACATGTATTTTGAATATGCAAATCTCAAATCTATTAAATCTTTACAAACTGATTCTTTCCAAGTCAGAGCATATGTATTTGGGATAATGCCAAACATCAGAGAAAGCTGGAACAAAGCAGCCTGTTTTCAGTGATCAAACATTGCCCCTGAAGGCTGTAATGAAAGAGCCATGTGCCTTTGAAATCACCTTCTCTGTAATGCTACTTTGCTCAATAAAAACGACACATTAATATCCTTTTATGAGCTCATCCCTTGTTTGACAACCCATATAGCAATGCTGTGATCACATCAGAAAAGCCAAAACAATCGGTTCAATAGATTTTCTTCCATCTTCCCTACAAAGTTAAAAATGTGTGACAGTCAGCAAAGAGGAAACTATATTGGATGTTTTTCCCGTTTACGCAAATGCACTCTCCCTCCACTACTGCCTGCCCTCCCACCCCCTGCCACTATACCTAGGCCACTCATCCCTTTACATCCTCATCAATGTGTCAAAGTCCAACCAATTCCAAAGCTTCAGCTCATATTCATCATTTGCTTCAAAGCCTTCCTTGATTCCCACACCTAAGTAAGAATTAATTATCTCCTCTGTGCTCTGATAGCACTTCATGCATATCTCCATTGTAGCCCTTATGTGATTATTATCCCTGCTTCAATTGGGGTATTATGTATATTTTAGTACTATGATTTTCTAGAGAAGAGACATTATCTTAACTATATATATATACCTCCTCCACAGCTAGTTACACAATTTTTATCACTTATTAGATCATTAGTGAATGTTGTTATAAATTAGCTTTACTGTAAAATGATAATTGTTGTGAATATAATAGTGGTCCTTCTACATAAATAGTTTAAAGCATGGTCAAGACAAAGGTTTTTGCATCGGTTATATCTTTATTTGATATGATTGACATCAGATATGCAAGCAAAGTATATACAAGCTGTCCATGTTGTGAATTCCCTCGACAAGGAAGGAGTAATGGGGGTAGTGGTTCTATAATCTGAATCTCTGCTTGTAAAATTTGCATGAGGAGGGAGCTCATGTGATCATCTGAGACAGATTTTTGTAAGTTAGGAAATTATATCTGCAAAATATGGTCGATAGTGTCTGACAGAACCATATCCACTGGGGTTGCCCGTGGAGATGCATCTTTGCTCATTATAAATAGGTGTGA